TTTTTCTTTTTTCTGATCTTCTTTTTTAATGCAGTTGCAAAGCGAGATCTCGCTTCAGGATGTGTGAGAGGAGGAGTGCGAGGAGGATTGCGAGGAGGAGTGTGCGGAGGAGTGAGAATAGCAAAGAACGAGTTCTTTGATCCCAAGAAAGGGTAGCGTGAGGATGAGAAAGCAAGTGTCGTATAAGACGTTGCAAGAGTGATCATGTCGCCATTTTGATTGATGATCAAGTAATGCCCTCTTGATCATGCAAGTTGTTTGTGAAGTGAATATTGGAACCGTTGAGTAAACATGGTGCTGCTGTGACAGTATCGGAAGACGTGAGTAATGGCAATGGCAAGTGCACCATTCCGGCTAATGTTTCACTTGTTCGGATGATACGTTCGAATTTCGATCCTGCGTGCATCGGCAAAGGGAAAAGCGATGTATTCGACTGCTCTCCTTGATCTTTCGAAGATTTTCTCGAATTGATCGGGGAAACACTTGGTTGATTTGGGCCCCATTTAGTTGTTTGTGGGAGAGGTGTGTGACGTTGATTGTACGATTGGTGGATTTCGAACAAGAAGAGAATGATGCTGCTTGAATGAGCTGTGATCCATGAATCAGGATTGGATGATGCCGGTTGAGTGAGGACGCATATGAGATGGCGTTCGTTGAATTTTTCAAAGTCTTTCCCGGAGCGTCAAAGAAGATCTTGGTTGGCTAGGTTGTATGCTGGCGTTTGCACTTGTGAGCCTTTTCTTGCGAAGTGATGTCATGCTTGTTTGCATTTGAGTGCCACAATCATTGTTTTGTGATGCTGATTGGATGGCAATTGGATCTTGAATGATAAGGGGGCCTTTGGATTTGGAATGAGAAGTGGGTCTTGAATGACAAGTGAATGATGATTGGAATGAGATGTGGGTGTTGGGAGTTGGAGTCAGGCCAAAAAGGCGGACTGTATAGACCTTTCTTTCATTCGTTTCACAGTTTTCAGAATTGGTAGGGTTTTCCCTATATTGCGAGATGATCTTTCATGAATCTCGAAAGGTTTCATCTGGTCGGCTTTTGAATGCGGATGAGAAGAGGCCACCAACAGTCTCTTCTTACTCCGCCGTCATCATCTTCTCCTCATTCCACCGTCATCATCCTCTTCCCATTTTACAGTCATCACCCTCTTCTCCCTTTAGGTGTTTATGTTTAGAGGAGGGTCTCTGGAAAGTTGCGAAACGAGAAGTTCTGGCTCATCTTACTCTCGTTACGCCAACAAGTCGGACAGGATAGACGCTTCTTTGATGAAGTGTATTTGATCCGTCATCCGAAGACATCTGCGCTCAAGACCGATGCTTCTTCGACTGCAAGTGATCGCTTGCAAGAGACCTTTGAATGCGAGTGCAGAGTCATCCTCAAATCTAGAAAAGTTTGCCCGACTTGATCGACCTCACTTCAACCCAGCATATGACGATGAACTTCTTCGGCAAAGTTGAACGGATGTCACTGGGAGAAGCAGTCAAAAAGTGTGAAGTGGGAGCGTGGGAAAAGACGGCAGAAGAAAGACAATTGTTGATGTCAAGTGTACCATTTCTCCTGTTGAGACTGCTCTGCAGTCTCTTGATGAATTCTGTGTGGCATCCGGAGCAGTCTCTTGATGATTTCTGTGTGGCATTCTGTGATGAATTCTGTGTGGCATCTTGTGTCGAGTCTTGCACCATTTCTCCTGATGAGATTGCTACGCTGACCCTTGACGAGTTCTGTATGGCATCCGGAGCAGTCTCTTGATGAATTCTGTGTGGCATACTGTGATGAATTCTGTGTGGCATCTTGTGTTGAGACTTGCACCATTTCTTCTGTTGAGACTTGCACCATTTCTTCTGTTGAGATTTGTACCACTTCTTCTGTTGAGACTGCTCCGCTGACTTTTGATGAACTCTGTGTGGCATCTGGAGCAGTCTCTTGACGGAATCTGTGCTGCATTTGAAGCAGCCTCTTGATGAATTCTGTGTGGCATCTTGCTTTGAGACTTGCACCATTTCTTCTGTTGCGACTTGCAGCATTTCTTCTGTTGCGACTGTTCCGCTGACTCTTAAAGAACCTTATATGGAATCTTACGAACTACTCCGGTGACTCTTGACGAACCTTATATGGAATCTTGCGTTAGGTCTTGCGCTTCTACCTTCCTCCCCACCTTTTGCCCTTCCTTCTTCTGCACGAGTCTCTTCTTCTCCAGAAACTGCCAGTGCTTACTTGTAAGAGCCCGATGAATACGAGTGCAGAGACATCATGAATGAAGAAACTTTGACCGGCTTGATCGACCTCACTTCAAATCAACCAACGATGACGGACTTCTTCGGTAATGTTGAACGGATGTAAAGCCAGGGACGGTGAGGTGAAAGTATAAGAGCGATCTTGAGTGACGTACGAGATGACTTTTCATGAATTTTGAAAGGTTTCATCCGATCGAAAGAGGAAGATCTTGGCTGACTTGGACCCCATTCAGGCGTTCATACTTGTGAGCTCTTTCCATGAAGTGACGCGGGTCGTGTTTGCGTTGATTGCCGCGATCAATGTTATGTGACGACTTGAAAAGAGAAGTCTGTGATGCTGACTGTACGATGTGTGGATCTCGA